GGCTGCCAAAATGGGATTGGAAGAAGGAAGGGGAGCGAAAAAAAAAAGGGGGAAATGGAGGGGCTCGTTATTAAACTGCAATGTTTTATAGTCTGCCAGCCGATTCATTTAATTTGGACGTAATTAAAATGTGTCAGACTCAATCAATCATGCCAAGAGGGATACTATCAATGTATCAGTCTGAAAAAAGACTAATCATTGGATATGCAGTTGGACAGTTTCCAATAACAGTATGCTTCTTTATTAACTTGACAAATCTACATTTTTATATATACATGTATATATTTGAAGTTGTCTATCAAACCAATTCTGGAACGTTTGTTTAGTATGTCAAAATTGATCTCTGACAGGTGGTGATGTCACTATGTGTATGTCAATAGTACATAACACCTATGCTTCAAGATGTCCATGTTGGGTATGCATGCAGATGCCTGTGTGCGTTTCTCATTTGCATAAGTGATATAATTAGACCTCTCTTTTACATGCAGATCAGTTTGACAACATGGCAATCACTCTCTCACACACACACACAGTCCCGCGCAAATATATACTTACACAAGGCAACACACGTTTGCTGCCGTGACCACCCTCATATCACAGAGAGTCTGTTGTCTGTGAGCAGAAAGTGTAAAGATTAACATAATCCAGCTAATAAGTGTGAGTAATATTCACACAGTGACGCGTGGCGTACACTCTCTCCTGCTGATGCGTATTTGTATCTCATTATAGATGTAAAGTACTGTGGCTGCCAGTGGGGTGAGGAGAGGGGTGAGTGGGCAATGGGGTGGGGGGATGGAGAAGGGTCACCAAATGTGGGCCTCAACAGTGAATGGTAAATTTTCCTGTCCACTGTTTCAGGAATAAGCCAGTGTGATATACAGTACCTGATTACCAGGATGCTATGAATTTTTAAAGGAAGACTACTGCAATGTCGCCAAAAAGAAATTACAGAAACTGATATTTCTGTTTTAAAAAGGCACAGTGTTACTTTTGCAGCAGAATGTAGGAATTATAAATAGTGTATTTGCGCTCGCAGGCTATTGCTCTGCAGCATGATTGATTAGGACGGTGTGACGACCATTAAAAAGTCATTTAAAAGATGGATAGGAACCACATTTCCAAATAAAAACCACTTTATACCTGATGAAGTGCTGAACAAACTCTTCCTCAAAGACATTTACTGATTACTATTGGGGTATGAGTGAGTGTAACATTGGAAACTATGCATCATCTGTAGGAGACACCAGACCAATCGCCTGTCCACCTTGTCAAGCAGTGGGTGGTAAAGCCCATATTTTGTAACGCCACAATTTGAATTTTTTTGAGTTAAAAGAAATCAGTGGCTACTGGTTTATACCGAAACCTAATCTATTTGTGTACAAGAGGACACTGATGTATAAATCAATGCCACAAACACTGATTAAAATATATTCGATAGCACAGCATGGCTTTAGATGAAACCTTATCCTCTGAAGCAGAGGTGCGTCTGAATGTGCGAATGCTTTCCAGCTCTGTCTCTTTAAACCCGGGGCTCCACCATGGCAGCATGCTTTGGGATTCATGCATAAACATGAGCTGGCCTTTCAAGCTCTCTCCTCACATAACCAATCTAAATCTAAATGAGCCCCCACTACAGATACACCAGCAGGCAATGACATTACACCCCCCTTCCCAGCCCCAGCCCAACCCCCTACTCTGCTACCCCCAGCGACACATATACACCAGCAGGCAATAATTTCACGCCATCCCTCAAAGCCCCCCCATCCACCTACGCTTCACGCACACACACACACGCTCGTACCCCTTTTTGCCGCAACCCCACCAGCTGCACAGTACTCATTTGATTAAGAGGGGAGGACAGGGAGAAGGAGAAATAGTGGGGGATCACTTTATCACGATGACTTCCTAAGATGGCTATCATCAGATACGGAGCTATCTCAAGCCCTCTTGTGTGTTCACTTTGCTATTGTTCTCCACATGTATCTGTTTTCTTTCTCCCTGTAACCAAAATCAGATTATAACAGGTTCATGGTAACATTTTCCAGTGTCGCATTTCTGTGAAGTGGTTAAATGAATAACTCGCCGGAAGAAAACAAGAAGCAGACTCCAGTTTGCTTGACTTGTTTGTGGCTCTGAAAGATCAACACGTTCCAGTGTTTTTTTAAGAAATTCCTCTGTATGAATTTGCCCCATCGACCATGGGAAAGTAAAGTAATAAAATCGTCTCTTCCAATCTAAGTTGTAGTCTTTGAAATGTTGAATATGAATATCTGTGTGTCTTAAATGTGCTGTAGTGTGCAATTTTCCACCTCTGAGTCGTAAAACACATTATCATCAGCAGCAGCAGGAGCAGCAATGTAATTCATCCGAGGTCGTTAATATTCATCATATCATTTAGTCACAAAGGAAACTCATCTGGCTGAATGTCACAGATGTAATTAATGAAGTGACCCCAGAGGTCATGGCTCTATTCACCCAATGCCTTCTACGCTCAATTTTTAGACACACACACACAACTGCACACCAAATGCATTCCAGCCAGACGTATTCAACTAACAAACCTACAACTTGGAATATAAAATGCATATAAGAAACAGGCACATTTGCATTGCAAAACACTGATAAAAATGTATTTTTTTTTTCTAAGTAAAATCAAAGGGATGACACCAGAGCATGCACCAAAGCAGACTTTATTTAGCTCAGTGGAATATGGGGAGGGAAAGAAGGAGAAACACACAACAGCAGGAAAAAACTGGGGTAGGAAGAGTATAGAGACACAGTAAACCACTGGAGCAGGACATAAGGACAGGTGCACATCACAAGTATCTTTTTGGTCATCACTATGGCAACAACATATCCAGAAAAAAAAAAGTTAAAAGAACCATTTTACCTACAGTAAGGAAAAGAGAGTCTTTTCACCATAAAATAACTCCAATATGTACATCTTACAGTCACTAAGATCAAGAGAATAAGAGAGAAATTAAATTTGAAATTATGTAGAAAACAAAAACTGCCTTTGTGGTATTTGGAAAGCACATTTCTGTACAGAAGAAAGCTCATTGGTATTGTCGTAAACATTGGTTGGTTAAAGAACAAAACGTGCCCGAGTTAGTCAGTCCATATCCTTTGGAAACTTGGCTGTGATGTCAGTCAGAGTCAGCAAAGCTGTTTTCAGCTGGATTTCTGACTAGAGACACGGCAACACAGAAAGACACCATACCAGTGGAAGGTTTGGGGCTAAACTCCGTCAAATATCTATGCAATATCTTCACGTGAATTTCAAAATTAATCCCAAAATAATGTCCTCTAAAACTGGAAGATTCAAAACATATTTTTTAATAATATGAAAGCCATTTTTTTCTTCAGAGTAATGGTGTATTTTAGGATACTGAAAAATAAACTTGATGGAATTAAGCCCCACATATCCATTAGTTTTAAACAGAATAACAGAGGAGCAGTTTATCAACAGCATCACAGGTATCATTACAGTTTGTAGTCATTAAAGCCTAGTGGTAAAGCGATCAGAGCATGCATCTTTCTACAATATCATTAGAAACTACAGTACATTAGCAGCAAACTGGACATCCTTAAGGGCTTGAAGTTTAACACTATGGTATAAGAGAAAAATAAACTGCAACATTTTTCAAGAGAAGTAAAACTCTTCAACCGCTATATTACAGACTGCCATGGCTCTAGTTTGGGGTTTTGGTTACAGTCTCCAGTGTGCTTATGAGAGGCAGAAAACAGTAGCTTAGATACAGGGACTCCTTCCTTCTTTAAAAACAGCATTACATCATCAAGTAAACAGTAGCGCTTATTTTTGTAGGTCATATGGTTAAAGTATTATCACGTCTTTGGATTTTTGTCTTAAAGCATTAATTATTGTTTAGCTATTATTGTTATATTATCATTATTACAGGTAGAATAAGGACTGGTAAATGAAAAGAGAAAAAAAAATTGTAGAGAAAAATTAAATGGGGGATAAGGGACAATAAATTAAGTGTACAAAAATAACATTGATGACATCCAAAGTTTTTCCTCAACTTAGCTGAGAAGCTCAATATATGTGAAGAAGAGAGCCATGTGTCAAACATCCAATGAAGTCTCGAGTCAACCATACAAAAGCTAAATACTGTACATTTACCCCTCACATTATTAAACACTTTAGTTTATTTTTTTGTAACAATCAATCACTCAAAGGTGAAAAGCTCAGATCTTTCAAATACAGAGTTTTATGTAAAGCTTAGTTCAGTTTTTAACTAGGCCTCGCTTGTTTAAAAAACAGACAACTCTAGTATTTCGATCATGTCTGAAATGGAGCCACATTGATCTGAGCATAAAAAGCTTTACATTACTCACATAACATTGGTAAGCCATTGGTATATTCAAATAGAATGGAAAGGCAGCAAGTCATCTTGCCTGAACATAGGAAAGCTGTCATAATCTTTTCAATATCATGACACTATTGTATTGAAGCAAGACAGTTTATGTCGATCCATAAGATTTATAATAAACTATTACTAAACACACACAATGTAAATTTGAGTTTGGTTAGAGTTTTCATTTACAGTATAGTGGTTGAGTGCTATAAAAATAGTTTACCCCATTCAGGACAAACTGGCCTTTTATGTACTGTGCTATTTGGGCTGTTTTCCACTAAAGAAACATACAAGGAGTACATGTACAACAGAAGACTCATCATTGGCTTTTGAGGGGTGAAGCAGCCTTTTAGCACCAAAACAGTCTATTGGTACTCAGCTTACCTATGCCAGCTGCAAATCTCACCCCTTCACCATACAGACGTCCGCTCTGCAGTTTGTCACTGAAAACAAACACGTTCAAACTAAATCAACAGACATGTAAAATTTTGGTTATGAGCTTTGGAATCTGAGACAGTCTTTACAAAAGCTCTATGCAAATACCCTTATGTATTTCAAGGATATTATTCATTTTATTTTTTTCTTCTTCTTCTTCTTCCATTCTTAACTGCTTTGTTTTTCTTCAAGTTTATTTTATTTTTTTTGGAGTTTTCTATTTACACTAAAATCTCTTTGACAGTTTATTTTCCAGCCTTATACAGACTGGGACTACATGCTACACAGCTAGTTATCTAGCACTGTCTGGTGGAGGGCCCACTTGGAGTCTGTCATGCAGACTGAGAGGTAGACTGCAGGTCTAGCTGGGCAGTGAGGTCACATACTTGGAGAATGCTCTTTGGCCTCTGTGGCATGTTTTTTTTTTTTTATCAAGTTGGTGTTTGGTGTATTAAGATGTTTGAAGGAATAGGGAAAGGAGCTTGTTTTAACAAGAAAGGACAGACCAGAAAAAAGTTAAAGAACATTATGAAAAGAGGAAAGCTGTGCTAATGAGAACTTGGTTTCAGCTCTCCCTTAAGAGTTGGGAGAGTTTCTCTTTGGGCCACTGTGGCTCTGCATCTTTGGGGTGTTCAGGTTATTGGTTTGGCAGCAAGTAGGCAGGGTATGTGTGGCCATAGACAGCAGTTGGAGGAAGAATTTTGGTTGGAGCATATTTGAAGGAAGCAGTCTGCCTTTCTATGCTCTGTCTCTCTCCACTGCGCCTGCTGACAGATCAGCCTGCTCCCTTTCTGCAGAGTCGGAAGTCAGGCTCCGAGCCCTCTTCTCTTTAGCTCTGGCATTCTGGAACCACACCTGTAAGAAGTATTTACATTACATATTAGTATCTACTACCTTTGAAATGACTGTCATTCTTTAAATTTTTTAAAAATGTTTCTGACAATTACCTGTACCACACGGGAAGGCAGTCCCAACTCATGGCCAAGTGTTTCACACTCAAGGCGGTTGGGTGTGCGGTGGTTCCTGTAGAAGTCTTTGAGCTGGAGTACCTGGAAGTGACTCATCTGTGTCCTTTGACGTTGCTGCTGTTGATGGTGGTGGTGCTGCTGAGTTTGTGACTCATTCCAATCTGAGCTTTGATCCCCAGATATTTCAGGACTAGGCGAACTTTGATCAGCCATACTGGAACTCTCCTCATATGGGTAGTCCTCATCTTCTTCCTCGTATTCATAATCCTCTTCTGAATTTTTTAAACTTGTGGATGAGGACAAAGAAGTCACTGGAGACTTCACAGTTAACTCTTTGTTGGTGAGGCCATAGCCAGTGTTAGGGATAGAGCTGGAGGAGATGGATGGACCTGGTCGCTCTATAGCAGATTGTGTCACCATCATGTTCTGCCCATTGGATCCATTAACTACTGATAAGTTGTAGCCTGCTCTTTCAGCCTCTGCCCAGTGGCGTGATCTTATATGGGCATCAAGTGCACTCTTTACCTTGAAGAGAGCTCTGCAGAATGGGCAGCGGAGGTGATTCAAGCCCAAGGTGAAAGTGGTTCCTGGTCCTACTGACCGAAACTGCCCTTTTCTTTCTCTTGCTCGTGTATTCTGAAACCAGACCTATGAGAGAAAAATGTTTGGTTTAACTTAACATAACAAATTAATCAAATGAGTTTAATCTTGACATCACATTACCTGAACCACACGTCTTGTGAGGCCCACATCTCGTGCAATACTTTCAAGGACTCCTCTGGTGGGATTAGAGTCCAAGCTGTAGCGCTGATACAACACTTCGAGTTGTTCTGGGGTGATGGTAGTTCTTTGACGTTTATCTCTTCTATGCTCCTCTTCAACTTCCCTACTGCCCCGTTGACCTTCAAAACTAGTCTCTGATACATGTTTTGTACTCTGTTTCATGGGTGATAGAGAATTGTTAAGGGTGCTATTTGAGTGTTCTGCTAATGTGCTTTTCATTTGCATGCTGGTCAAGTGTGAAATCATGGGATGTGTGGGATTAGGGGGAATCTGAGACATAGCCCCTGAAAGCAATTGGCTGGCCATTATGGTGTGATTCGGATGAAGCATCATGTAAGGCAAGGGTCGATCTGTGAAGCCGGAATGAAAGAGTTGTACCTGGGACTGAGCAGCTAGAAGGTGTCTGGTTTGATGTTCTTGCCATAACTGGAATGTTGGCAAAGATGCTGGGCAGAGACCACACTGGAACTGAGCCTGGACTTTGAGCTGTTGCTGGGTTTCAGTGGAGGGGCAAGCTGTGGCATCTGGCAGGCCATTGTGGTTTGTTTCCAACTCTGGGGGGGAGAGTGAGCTAGGTAATGGATCAGCAACCTTTTCACAAGGTTCATAGTCAGAACCGTGTGTATTCTCCTGGTTTGAATGAGACATAGGTGAGACGGGGAGTGTTGTTTTTTGTGATGAGGAAGCAGCAAGGGTTTTAGGTTTCTCTAGAGGACTTTCAGGTTGCAAACCAGGTTCTGTTTTAATAGGCTGAGCAGTTTCTTTCTGTTGGACGTCTACGTCTAAAATTTTGCTTTGAGCATGAGCAGTAGCCTGATGAGAGGTTAATACAGCTTCCGATTTCCTCACAGTAGCGCTTTGTTCACTTTTGGTCACTAGAAGCTCATTTTCTGAGTAATAAGTGGAAGAATCAAGGGTAGGTGAATCAGGATGAGTGTAATACTCATAAGTCAAATCCATGGAGTTTTCATTCTGAGAGTCCCCTTGTTCTTCATCCTCATAGCTGTTGTCCTGATTATCAACATCAGTCTTGTAAGAGCCATTTCTCTGTTTGGTGACATTGTCAAGTTGGCTCTTCCCGTCTGATCCATCCTCTGCTCCCTTGTCTTGATTTTTACGGGCTCTCTGACGTGCATTTTGGAACCATACAACAATGACTCTATTAGGAAGTGATAACAGAGCAGACAACTTGTCATATTCTTCCTCTCTGGGGTATGGAGTGGCCTCAAACACCCCCTGCAGAGTTTCAAGCTGTTGCTCTGTGAAACGGGTCCGAGAAGATCGTCTGCCCCTGTGGTGCTCTCCTGTTGGCTGTGGTTGTGAAGAGGTGTTGGCTGACAGGCCTGGGGACAGTGAACAAGGGGAAAGTGATAAATACTGTTTTTTTGTTACATCATCTCTGGACTCATCCAGAGCTGTGGTTGGCGGATTATTAAAATTGTATGGGGAATCCTTGTCTCGTTGGCGCTCTTTAAATAGCGTGTTGCGGAACCAGTGTTTAATTACTTTCTGAGGCAGCCCAGACAGAGCAGACATCTTGTTGATCTCTTCATCACTAGGAAGACTACTTATATCAAAGTGTTTTTTTAGAACAGACAGCTGCTCTTCAGAGATTCTTGTCCGAGTTCTTTTACCCTGCTGTTGTTCAGGTGTGGTTGGACTGATTTGGCTTTGCTGTCCTGTTTGCATGGGTTGGGATGATTGACTCAGCAAAGCAGGATTGGGATGAGGTGGATGACTTGACAAAACTGGGCTGGGCTGTGGCTGCTGAGCAAGCAAACCTGGACTAAGTTGTGGCTGTTGTCCAAGAAGTGCTGGGTTAAGCTGAGACTGGTACAGTTTTGCCAGTTCAGGGTTCACACTTGAATCTAGCCACGGTTGAGTCTGAAGAGCCATAGACTGCATCACAACTGGAGAGAGAAGTGGCAACTCCATGGGAAAAGGGATTGGCGGAAGTGGAAGCTTTGGTATGGTTAATGGGGGTAAAGGAAGCTGAGGCAAGGACAGGGGGAGCATAGGTATTTTAGGTAAGGGAAGAGGTATGGGAGTTTTAGTTTGAGAAGTAGCAGTCATCGGTGTGCCTGGAACAAATGCCTCCTGTTGCTGAGATTCTTGTGGTTGAGAAGGGGAAGAAGAAGAATCCGAAGGAGCTATTGTTTGCAGGTCTTTAGTTGTATCACTTACTTTATTCATGGGATCTGAAACTGACAGTATAGGTGAAGATTCTGTATTTTTCACCTGAGGCTGAACTGACTCTGTTGTGGCATCTGGCTCTGTGGATGTGCCTGGGGTTGGAGCTACATTAGAAGCTTGGTTAGAAACGTTTGAGTTCTCCCCAGATTTAGGCTCAGAAATGGGGTACATTTGATCATATTGCAGTCTATATTCCTTGGAAAACTTCTCCAGTGCAGCAGTGGGAAACAGCACTCTATGAATATACTCCTGGTGACTTTTTAAAATCAAAGCATCTGAGAAAAACTTGCCACAGTCACTACACTTTTGTCCTGCCTCACAGCATTTTTTCTTTTTGTTTCCAGATGCCTCATTTTCAGTCTTTTTTTTCTCTTCATTCCTTCCATTGCCTTCTTCTCCTTTACTATTGTTGTTACAATCTTCTAACATTTCTTTCTGTAATTGACAAAATTCTTTTTCTGGGGGAACCTCTGTCTTACAGACACTATAATCAGATGATAATATTTGAGTTGGTACTTGCTGCTGGTGTCTGTGTCTACTTTGTATATGCTGCAGCGCCAACTCGTAGCCATAACTCTGAAGCAGAGCTCTGAGAGGCTCCCCATTTACAGCAGCATAGGGCACTCTAGGAGGAGGACATCGTAATCCAAGAAGATTTGATGAGGAAGAAACTTCTTTTTTTTTATTCTCATCTTTTTCCGTACTAATGTGTGTATTTTCTTTTTTCTCCTCGTGACTAGAAACACAATGCTCTCTTTCCATCTGATGGCTTGAGAATCTACTGCAAACTACAACTTTCTCTTCACTTTGTGAATAATCAGTTGCCTGGCTAACAGTCAAACATGAACTTTGTTTCTGGTTTTCTTTTTCATATGAATAGGTCTCTTTCGTAGATTCTGCCTTCACCGGTTCTTTTGGAATGGGGTTAGAAGATACTAAGTGAACAAGTTCCGGTCCTTTTATAGTTAACTCTGAGTTGAGCTTTACATCACCTGACAAGTAAAATGGCAGAAGAAGTTGCTGTTGAAGAGAGAGCAAGTTGTCTGGTGCCAGTGAAAAGTGCTGTTTAAGAAGATTATCTGGTCCTAAGTGATGATTCTGAATTGCCTGGGATTGGAGCAGTGCTGTTTGCTGTTGCAGTTGAACTTGTGCCTGGGCTAGCTGCTGTTGTTGTATTAACATTAGTTGATTTCTTGATGCTAGAAGCTCTGCTACTCTCTTTTTTGCCTGTTGGGAGTCTATTAGGTCAGAGAAGGATGGCTGAGTCTCAGCTAATAAACCAGAGCCTGCTAATGAAGAGGTTGAACAGCTTACTTCAACTAGTTTCTTGGAAACAGGCAAATTTATAGACATTTCTTCTCTGGTTGTAGCATCCTGTGTGGCAGAAGTGGGGACTGACACAGGCAAAGCTAAAGTTGACGAGGGGTTCTGTTGAGCTGAGTTCTGGGCAGCACGAGCTCTAGTCTGATGAAGAACAGAGCGAAGATGTATGTCCAAGGTAGAACTCTGACTGTAACCCACTCCACATAATCGGCAGCGGTAAGGTCTAGGATCTGGGCCACGTGGTGTCTCTGAAGCTGCAGTACTTCCCCCAGAGTCTTGCATGGCTCTTCTGGCCCGGTGGAGATGGGACACAGAATTGTAATGAACCAGAAGAATTGTTTTTTGAGTAAAGGATTCTGAACATATGGTGCATTTATAAGGCCTAGATGGATCCAGATAACGGTCCATTGTAGGGTTTGAGCTCTTTTTGACAACTGAGCTGGAACTAGGTTCTGATATAATCTCCTCTTGTGGCCCTTTCCCTAGCTCAGGTAAATCTTCCTCAGCTCCACCTACTTCAGAAAAAGCTTCCCTTTCTTTTATTTCAACTTCCTTTTGTTCCTCCGCCTCCTCCATGTCTGACATTTCTTCGTCTATCTCCTCATCATCTCCCTCTCCTGCTTCTTGACCCACTTGAGGTGATAAACTAAAATCTTGCTGAACTGAATGCTTGTTATGCTCCATGTATTGCACAGTTTGAGGTGGCAAGAGTGTATTCTGTCCCTGTGTGTTGTCCTGCTGTGAGTGCGTGTTTTGCATGTGTCTATGCAGGGCCTCTTGGCTGCGACATTGTCTAGAACAAAGAGGACACTCTGTCGCCGCCCTCATGGCATGGTACTGCCAATGCAGCTGGAGCTTCTCCTGAGTGGGGAATGCCAAGCTGCACCTGCTGCAACGAAACCGGTAACCATGACGATCAGAAGGAGGAGGGGGGTCACTGGGTGGGGAGCTGGGTGGAGAGGAGGGGGGTGTCTGAGTTGGGGACTGAGGAGCCACTGTGCCATTGGAAGGGTGAGTGGTGTTGTCTTCTAGGGGTGGGGTGAGAAGTGCTGTGACATCTTTGGGTGCGGCTATGTCTGCCTCAGTGTTCTCCACTGAGATACCTGCAAGATGCACCAGAATAGTAACTGTGAAATTTAAATATTTTTGCCACAAGTCAACAAGACAGTTTTTGGAACTTGCTTATTATGCTTACAGTAAGCAAGTAAATATTGGCTAATTTTATCCAAATTTATTACCAACCTTTATTTTTATGTGAATCAATCGAGACAGTTGAATCTGCCGAATGGGAACAGTTTGCATTGTTATTCTTTGTTTTCTTTTTCTGAATATCATCAGGAAGCAAATCTGTCTGTAGTTGTGACTCTGATAAAGGCTGTGGTTGTTCCATGGAAGGTGTAACCTGAAAGAAAGAAAATACAATCGTTTGTTACTGTTCTTTATTTTGTTTTTACCTGGTGTTCTCTTACAAGTTCAAAATAAAAGAAACATCTGATGTTTCTGGGCTTTCTTTATTCAGCATTATGAATAAAATATATTTAATTCTACAGTGAAAGCAAGCAAAAGACAGAGTGCCTGTGCTTCCTTTATTGGTATTTTAAAAGATTAAAGGGTATTGTTATATTTTGCACCTGCCTGTACAGCAGTACAAGCAGCAAGGCACATCAATCTCTTAATAAGAATACACATGTGAATCTGCCCTTCAGTTCCAACACCCTTCAACATGCCTCAAGGGTTTAATAAAACTTTACTGAGCTGAATAATTAATTTATTTAAAATAAATCTTCATATAAAAAAAACTCCATTCCCGCAGCTTCAAGCAATGAGAGTAAATAGTATATCTATGCAAACAACTAGCCACCCTGAGGAAAGGACAGAGAGTCAAAGATGAGATTTACATGACAAGAGTCTTCTCTACGTAACAGCTTCATAGCAGCAAAAGAGAAGAACAACCACACACACACACTGCAGTGAAAACTGAAGGTCAGACTTAATCTAGAGACCGTAATTGGAAAGCAAGATACATAATGGCCATCATCACCTCAGTCTGAATTAATGAACCTCAATTACTATCAGAGAGAGTGAGGGAGGGGAATGAGTGGAAGGAGGGAGGATGGGGGGGGGCTAAAGGGTGTAGAATATGAAAGAGAGAGAGAGAGCAGGCAGAGGGAGGAAGTATGGGGCAATGAACAAAAAAACTGCTCTGGAGAAAGACAGTGAGCAAAGGGAGGGGTTAAGAAAATGAGGGAGAACTTGGGTTAGACAGAAAAGAAGGGGCATGACAGAAATTGCAAAAAAAAAGGAGTGATAGGAGCAGCTGGGGGAGGGGGCAAAGGGGAGAAAGGGTGAAAAGCAGTCAGTGAAGTGGAGGGAAGAGAGCAAGAGACAAAGGCCACTTAGCATACAGGCCAGGGAGATGGAGGATGGTGATGTGGATAGATGACCGGTCATTGTTAGTTGGAGAGACACAGTAAAAAGCATAGGGGCCCCTTTTTAGCTTGACTGCACTTCTAGTAATAGAGGGCTACTTAAACATGCATTATAGAAAGACTGGCTTTTCTTACACTCACTCACTCAAACCTACTCTTTTTCCTCTCCAAAAGACGTGCATACACATACACACAGAATGCACGGCTGCATCAAAGATGATAGCGAGCAGCTACTTAAACATGCATTAAAAAAGTGCTGCCTTTCTCTCTGGTGCCTTCTTAATGGAATTGTCTCCCTACATTTCACTCTGCCCCCATCCCCCATTGCTTTGCCTTTTCATTTTGTTTTACTTCCTGAAGAACGTTAATACAACAAATACACAGTTGCACACACTTACTGCACTGATGAGCTTGTCCACACAGTCTTGTGCCACACTGTGCACATGTGTGAGATGCTGTCGAAGGTGCGTGCATGGGAGCTTAACCTGGCACAAGGGGCACTGGACACTCTAAGCAAGAAAAGAGTGTTCATCAGTGTTGAATTGGTGAATTGGTTTAAATGCAGTACTGCATTTATTCTATCACATTTTATTTTTACACAATCACAGTTAAATTAATCTACTGTTTCTCGGCTGCTCACCTGCTGGTTCTCAGTTTGCTGGTGTGTTCTCAAACGTTTGGTTGAGTTGGATTTATCCATTTTCCCACATCCAGAGGATGGACGCTTGACTGAGGACAATGACTCCCTCTTTTTTCTTTCCTCTTCCTTTGTTTTGTCTTCAAGTGAAAAAAGTAAACACATATTTAAACCTTTTTTTAATCAGTGTAAAATATAGTATTACTATAACTTGAGTTTAGTATTATGTTGTAAGATTTTTATAAGCTGCAATACCTATCTCCTCAGAAATCTTCTTATCCCCCAAGTTACTTGTGTCTTTGGTGGTGTCCAAAGGATCAGTGTTGGAAGTTTCCATATCCCCACTAAGCTCTCCTAGGACAAGACAAAATAAATAACTATAGTGTAGAGTACAAACGTAGTGGTTCATGCAATATATTCTAACAAACGATCAGGCTAATTCTAGTCTATATTATACAATAGCTATCATCCTTCAAAAACACTAGTGTATTTGAATCACACTTCTTTCCTCTTGCTTGTTTCTATACACTATTGATTACTTATCGATTCCACATTAGATTCTCTCAGAGGTGAAGCGGAGGTAATATAGACTTACAACACACAAGTTAGTCTCAATAAATCTTAATTTGCCAACAATCACATCAAAGGATATATTTAATTCACAAATAAAGTGTTGCACTACTTGTTTTAACTGTTACATACTTCACACACTCCAGACAACATAAATTCAGCATTATCATCATTATCTTGCACAATCTTTAGAGTTACGACTAGCCTCAACCTCCCACAGTCTTTGTCCAGGGAATTTGTATTAGTTCATTGATTAGCAGGTGCTAGTTAGCTGTTGTCAGGAGTGATTGGGGATATAACAAGGATGTGTATCGACTAATCACTTTGCTTGATCAATAGCCAAGCAACCCCCATTGCTCATTTTCTCCCTCTTTTCATCTTAATCTTCCATCTACTCTCTGTAGTCAGCAGTCACATGGAACATGAAATCAAATACGCCCACACAGTTTATATTCCCACCTTTTATGCCGCACAAGCTTTTTCTGATGGTGAAAATGGCAGCTAGCTCCTCTCCACCCATTGGTTGCAGCTGCAGTAGCCCTTCCCTCTGCTGATGGGCTGAAGTTTGGCTGTGTTTGAGTACTTGCAGTTTAGTAGAGGAGGAGTGGTTGCATAGAAGACAATGAAACAGCCACGAACCCCCATCAACCTCACCATCATACTGCTGCAGGAACTGAAAGTGAGACAAATAGAAATGACAGCAGGAAGTTTAATGGCTGGATGTTAATCTCTAAATTTAGCATGCATACATTTTGTTTAATATACCGCTTGAGGGTTTGGAAGACAAGGATTTTGAAAATAACTGTTTCTTACTCCGTAAACCCGGGTGCTCGCCTCATGCTGTGAAGTTAGGGAATGCCCTTGTAGCTTCTCTAAGCTGCTGGTCACAAAGTCACACAGGTTGCATCGCAGGTGGATGTGGTTCCCCTTAGCAATGAGGGCGGCTCCTTCCTGACCCCTGTCACCACCCTCCTGGATGTGAGCAGCATGCTGGTAGCGGGTGCGGTGTCTATCAGTCTGGCAGTGCAAGGAGAAGTTAGCCCTCAATGGGGTGGTGTAGCCACACAGTCTGCAGTGACAACCACCTGCAACAAGGGAGCACCACTCAGACTGTGGCAAGGAGCGGGGAGCATTCAAATGCTGCTCTACAGACTCTAAGCTGTCGGAGGAGAAACATGAGCAGACAAGGCATTGGAATACACCCTGGGAGAGGGGTCCCGTAGGGGACAGAGCTGGGGCTGGAGGAGGAGATGGAGAGGGGGAGGGTGATGGAGTTAGAGTTGACCCCAGGGTCACTGGTTGTTCTGGGACCTGTTGACTGGTCATTCGTAGGTTCAGGGAAAGCTCTGCACCTAAAAAGGAATGAAACCAGCAAACAAATTGAACGCATTTTTAGCATCACTTCTTATATTATGTAAAGATATGTATACAATACTCACCTGTGTTTTGTAGGTGTTTAAGATGTGGGGCGAGACTCCTGCACTGAGACAGATAGTAACCCTGCTGGAGCCGTAGCATATTATGTGTGTGTTTCTCGCTGGTAGTGTGTATGCGCAGGTTGCGAGCAATGCTGGTCTCATAGTCACACACATCGCATCTCCACCGTTTACCGTGAGAATGGGAGTGTCCAGATGGTGAAAGCTTAGTGGGCTGGGGAGTAGGTGTTGAAATAGAAAGTGGGATCTTGTTGTAAGGCTGCTCATCTGCTGTGTGACCATTAGAGGAGCTACTGTTGTTGGTACCAAGAGAGGTGTGCATGTTACCATTTGCATGTCCCCCACTTTGAACATTGTTAAGGTGTTTGTCGGACTGCATATGTATGCTGAGGTTTCCTTTTGATGATGTAGCGTAGTCACACACCTCGCAGCGGTAGGGCTTGTAGCCACAGGCGTAGGTTTCACCTCGGGCCAATCGAGGATGGGGTTTCCCCGAACTGCAGTATGCACAGACACCTCGTGTTGCACCACCACACACACATTTTGCTCCAGATGCACTGCATGCACACTGACCTCCTGTCTCTGGATGTTTCTCCTTCATGTGGACCTGTAGTGTGTGCTGAGACTTGTAATGCCAGTTGCACTTGGGGCATTTAAGAGTCTTGCAGGAGTTGCGTGAGTGCATTATGGTCATGTGACTAGTCAGTGAGTTAGGAGAGAGATCTTGGTTGAGGTTTTTAGAGACAGCTTCTTTCTGTTCTCCTTCTTTGTCTTTCTCATCATCCACTGTGTCTATCTGGCTGTCATTTGGTTCTGGAGCTTTGGCACCTTTTCCATTAGGAATGGAAGAATGAGGAACCCCTGTCAGCACGTCATCCTCAGCAGGTGTACTGGCAGGCTCCGTACCTGCCAGTGGAAAAGCCATAGAAGACTGCTGGGATCTAAAGCTCTGAGGAAACCCAGAAATCCAGCCCTGATCGCCCTTAATGTCTTTTACCTCTGTTTCGCTCAGCAGGGCAGAAGAGGAGGACGGACAACTGAAGTGCTTTGGAGAGATGGGAGAAAAAGGGAACAACTTTGGAGAGGAGGAAGAAGGGTGGGAGGGCTTTGGAGAGGCGGCTGTTTTGCTGTCGAGTGTGCCACTGGCCTTTGCAGTGCTGGAAGAAGAGCTGTAATGGCTCTGTTGAGGTAATAAAGAACATTTGGATTTGGTTTGACTTTGGTTTGAGATGGCCTTCTCCTCTTCCTTCTCCTCCTCTTCACTTCTGCTGTCAAGAGGTGCTGGGAGGGCTCCTGTAAATGAAGCTTCTTCCACACCTACATGCATTCTCCCTTCTTTCCTTTGCCCCGACAGACATCCCTCAACAAAGTCCTCTTTCGTCCCTGCATTCTCCTGTGTATGTCGGTCTCCTCCTTTTTGCTCACCTTCCTCTCCAGCCTGGGACCCTTCTGCACCCACCTCCCCCTGCCGAGACAGGGTCAGGGGCTCTTTGGCAGGGGCCACAACTGAGGTACAAGAGGATGGCCCCTGTTCTGGAATGACCGCCAGGGTCAGGAGAGGAAGAGATAAAGCCTGGGGACTGAGGTCAGCATCTCTCTCCTCTCCTCCCCCTCCATCCCCTCCTCCTCCCTCACCGGTGTCCATACCAGAGGCTACGGCTGCCACACATTACCAGCCCACCTGTGTATTTCAGATACAGAGAACGAGAAGACAGACAGAAGACAGGAGAAAAGAAAAGGAGAAAAAGAGAAAGAAAGCACATGCATGAGTCATGTAAATAATATTACATAACAGTAAAAGCATTGATTATAGCCTTTGGATAGCATCTGTTCAATACAGTCTTCACAGTTTGCAATCCAGTGGCTGGTTACCCAGGGGTTGGGGTTAACCCTTAATGGGAAAATCAATATCATGAGAGCTAAACTGGGTAGAGGAATGCGGGTAAAGGCTACGCAGGAGGTCTGCAATATTCCTCAGGGGATCGGATTAAATAAAGAACTGAATGCTTCAGAGCTAAAGGGCTTCTGCTAAATTGCCACACTTGGATAAAAGAAGATAGGCAAACGCTTTTTAATCCAATATATCATTCTCTAAATCATGAACATTGCACTAGTCAAGAGGAATTATAAGGCAACAGGATCAGCAATTGCACTTAGCAAACTCTTTACACAATTCCTGCAAACACAAGCTTTGAAACAAAACCATAAAAGCCTATGCAAAAAAAAACGTGTTAATCTTCTAAAATATGTCTGGTAATTTAAATGTGTGATCATTTTAAAAGGCTATTCATGTTTGTGGTGTTGCAGTGCATTTTAGTAAAAATGTTTAATACTGTGTTGATCTTGTAAAATGATTTTTCCAACTAACAACTCATGCACATGAGGACTATTAAGCATTATAGCAAATAATTTTTGGAATGTCTCATAAGCAAACATGCATAACACTAATAAGAGTTTAAAGAAACATGCATACTGTACAACAACGCTGAGTCTGCCTTTTTATAGTCATAACATTTTATCATTGAATGACCAATTATTTTTATTCAAAGATTTTGAAACTAATTAAAACAATATTTCATATGATCACAGACCTAAAATAAATTAGCTCGGGTTCCTGACTGGCAGGTGGATGCCATTTGACTATACAGCTCAGTATATGTGTGTATCACAATCTCATTGCTGACCTTTTTTAATCAAGGCGAGACCTTAATCTACCCTTTTACCTTCTGCTTCAACCAACCCCCCTTCTTTCTCCTCCTTAAACACCTCCATCCCTCTCTTCTGTGGCCACCCCCACCCCGTTTCTCTGCAGCTTGGAGATATATGGCTCATATTGACACTCTGATAGTGCTTTAATGTACTGTGTTTATGTCACAGGCCACAGACCCTTGCTCACTGCAGCTGTCCACTGTCCTGCCAGAGAGTGCCGAGGGGCTGAGCCGAGCTGCCAGCAGCTGAGAACGGCCTCTAATCTGATAAAGATTTTCATTTACACTGCAATCAATAACCTGGGTCTATCGGCAATGTAACTATTTATACAAGCATTCCTGGCTCTCTATCGATCACAAGTGCGGGAAACCATCATTTAACGATGTGTGTGCATGTATGTGTTAATGAGAGCTCATCCTTTTGTGCAACTGATTCTGATTATGTCAATTAGTCAAACTCAGAACACCTAAAATCCTGCATGCATTGACCAATCACAGGCTTTCCCCAGCTGGTATTATTAATAACGTGTTTGTTATTGCAACCCAACGTTTTTTTTTTTTTTATCAAATACATTCAGAATAGAATAAAAGATTCCTAGATTGTGTGAGCTGGTGTGTTTGTGTGTCTGTGTGTGTCTGTGTGTGTGTGTGTGTGTGTGTGTGTGTAGCATAGAAAGAGGAGGCAGGGGTGTGAGGGGGGATGAGAAGCAGACTGCTAAGAGTTGTGTGGCTTTACTTTAGGAAAACACCTTTTGTTTATTATCTTGGACACGAAGCAGGAAAAGGACAACCTTTTTTCAAAGCAGCTGCTTTGCGCGAGGACCCAGTGGATCGTACAGAACCTCCAGTCTTAAGGTAACAGAAAGATTCAGCATTTTTTCCAGGACTATGGCAACGAGGTTATGCTTGAATAAAATTAAAAAAAAGCCTAACCAGGCAGCGGTATGAAGAGTTCACCCCCCAGTCCCTGTGTGTTAGTCAAGGCTCTGAGAGAGCGTCAGCCCAGTTCTGCTTTTGTTTACATGATCCAGCCCCACCGGAACACTTTCCGACTCAGCTGAACCCGAGCGTCCGCGTTCAGTGGGTGACTCACCGTAAAACAAGAAAAAGCTTCATTCCGTTAAGGACTAACAAACTGCGTTGATCTAACACCCCCCACCCTTCCCTCCTCACCCCCTCTCCTCCCCACCGCCGGCTCGCTTCCTTGCAGCAGCTCCGCTAACATCGTAAACAAACGGCACACTTACATTTCCGCAGCGACTCTGGCACAAAGCTCCGCGCGCCGAAACCTCCGCTAGTCCACAAAACAGTCGCGTGGAGTCTCCACTCATTCCTTATGAATGATTCCTTCTTTTTTTACGGAGCCAAGAAGAGGAAGAGGAGAAGAAGAAGAAGGGGAAAAAAACGAGAGAGCGAGGAGGAGGAAGAGAGGGAGCAGCGGGATCCAAGTTGTTACCAAACAACTGTGTAATTAAAGCTACATATAGGCTGTAGTAAACAGAAGGTGGGGGTGGGTGGGTAGGGGGGGACGGAGGGGTCTGCGCGAGCTCCAGAGGTAGAATGAGTTCTGATCACTGTGGGAGGAAAAACACTTGGCTCTTTATTCCTGCTAATTAGTTTCCTTCAAAAAATGGCTGAGATTGCGCCTAGTGCGCATGTGCGTAATTGCGCAGTCGCCGCTAATTAGCCGGTTTGGATCAATAGGATTAGGAGAGAGAGAGCGAGAGGTGGAGGGAGGGAGAGAGGGAGGGAGCTGAGACGCAGAGGAAAACGGAAAATGGAATATTAATATTAATAATAAAAAGTAGCTTTTATTGTTGCTTTTATTGTTAAAATATTGAGAAAGGTTTTTTAGATTAAAAAAACTAGGGAAGTCCTGAAAATTGCATGAAAATTTCAGATTTTTATTTTTATTTTTATGAAATACATATCAAAACACTGCAAATTAGGTCAAAATAAACAAATCACAAAAAAATAGTAATTTTTCGATTTTAAAAACGACAACGTGTCAGACATCTTTAACAAAATGCGACGTTTTGACTGCGATTCAGGAGGACTCCAAACACTCACAGGCTCTGAAGGACCGGGTTTAGACTGTCGGATTATTTAAAATGACCTTTGCTTTGGCGTTCAAATGAAGCCACGATCATTATGCTTATTTCTTTATTTTATTTGAGTGTTTTCCATCATCATTAAAAAAGTTGATGCCAAACGAAATATATATATATATATATATATATATATATTTTTTTTTTTTTAATCAGGCTCTATATAAATATGTATATCTAAAAACAAATTATGAGCATTTAATTTTAGACTCTAAATAAGGGACTCCGTCCTTATTCTGTCTGGACTGAGATGATTAAAAGGTGAATATTCTCTGGGTGGTTTAGCTGTTTGTCTTTGTGACTACAGAAAAACAAATATGTGTGAAAAGCTAAAATAACGTGTCTGTTCGCATGTCTGCCACCACAGAGGACCTTTAGTTTTTCCCTTTTGGCTCTGACCGTCCATCTTCACAACTCTGCCCTTTTGTTATGATAATACTATTGTGAATTTCAATCTGTCCATCGTCCATATATTTACAAGGAGAAAGCTGCTTTTTCCCCTTTTCTTTCCTTTTTTTGTAAAAGCAAATATAGTATATGATTTTTACTCTAATTGAATTGTCAAAATTGTCACTTTTTAAATTTATGAATACTGTTATGTATGTAAAAGATGGAATATGATGTGAATATCCATTAATATTAAAGAATTTCCTAAAGAAGAATCAGATTAAAGCCTTGATCTGCGGTGTGCTTCCAACAGCTCATTTCTGCGTGAAACAACCGCAATACAACACCATGTTCTTTAAATCTCATAAATATTAATGCATTTTATTATGTATAGTTTTTTTTTAACTCCATCATGACATGATTGCTTTTATTTTTCTTGCTTTGGATGTTTTCCCTGCGTGCGGACGTGCGTCAAGACTCGGAAAAGATTCCTCCATCTCCTCATTAATGTTGCGCCAAATGATTTGTCTTTCGTTCTTGAAACATCCAATAAATATTTTACGATTCGACAACGTTTGAAGTGATGATGTGGCAGAGGCCTCTGTCGAAGACTGCAGGTTATCAGGACCATAAATCACTGGCTGCTCTGTGCGTCTTTACGCATGCGGGGATTTTCTCTTGTTTTGGCTGCGGAGACAGTCGGAGACAATTTGTCATTTTAGGGACAAAAGACAGTGAATGGGGACGTAGTTTGAACGTTATAGTCCAGTTAGTGTCTGTGTGATTTGTATGAGTGTGAGTTTTTTTCATTCAACCTTTATTTATACAGGTTAATCCCATTGAGCCTTGGAGACTCATTTCAAAGGTTTGGATTAAATAAACAGGAAATCTGCGTTAAATTTAACACGAAAGCTGGAGTTTTGTTTGTTTTTGTTGCTCATTTGACACTTACTAATTATGATAATTTAAGTTTCTTTAAATAAATAAAAATGTCCAAGCACAGTCCAGAGACATAATTAATTCAGGTGGTCCCTCCTCACGTTAAAGAGTGGACCAAAAAAACAACAACAACTTTTCAAGTAAAAAACTTTATCTGCACGATATTTTTTTGTCATATCAATAGTTGATGCTTTCTTAAATAGAAAAAAATGTAAGCAAAATATGATACTGGATGCCAACAACCACTTTATTTATTTGTTTGTTTGTTTGTGTGTACCTACAAAAACAGCTGAAGCAACAAGCCGAAGTGGTCAAGCAGAAGTTTCATAAAAGACTGTCTTTAAGCTGCTCCATCACCCTGCTTGATCGCCTTAACCTAACCTGGACAGTTTTTCACTGAGCCTTCATCTTTACTGCAATGTCTCACTTACAGTTCCACATAAACGCCTTCTCCAAGATTCTCTGCTTGTCTGATTCCACCATATTTAGATTACAGCCAACCTAATCTAGTAGGTCAATCGTGTGGCTCAAGCTCTCATGTGGCTCAGTGGAGATTCAGACAAGCGCTTTGTTTACACTGAGGTGCACCGGCATTTCAAATCACTGGAATAAACTCTTTGAAACTGCATAGTCCAGGAAAACATTTTTTACTTTTGATTTCATACATTGCAATGAGTATCTTTAAGTGCCTTTTAACATATAAATTCACTCAAAATTGCATTTACTGAATCCGTATTATAATATTATATCAAATACTGGTTATGACCCAATATTGCATAGAAGAAAAAGGCAAGTGGGTGCATTTGTTCACATAAATTGCATGCGTTTGTCAACAAAGAATAGAATAAAATGTGTTTTTGCCCTTTAAAATTTCAGCACACATCTGCGCAGTGATCTTTGAGACTGTTGCAGTGGATTAATTTCCAGTGATAAATATTGTATTGTAATATTTTACCAATATTAAAGCTCATGTGTTTACACGCATTCTGCCTCTCTCTCGCTCTCTCCCAAGCCTTTCATGCCCTCAGGTGGATGCCAGGAATTTGTTGTTTTCACTGTATAATATATAGTTAGCCCTTCCACCAATTTACCCTGTCAGTGCTAATGGGGCAATTAACCATTGTGATACCCCCCAGGCAGAGGGAAAGCCAAAACCTTCCCAACTCCAAACTTGTCTTTATGACATTTATATGACAAAATGTGGGGGAAGCTGGGGACCCATCTGACACCTCGGAGAGTCCTTAATGTCACTCCCTCCCATGCACCCACCCCCTAACTGCCCGAGGTTATGGCACCGAGCGGAGACTGTAATACATCATGTACAGTAAGAGGTGCAGGCTGCATCCAGGATGGAGAAAACTTTGTGCTGCATCCACAGTGCTTCAGTGAAGCAACCCCAGCTCACTCATCACGTCCGGTCTGCGTGGTTATAAATACCAACTTGTGTACACACAAACACTGTTAACATCATCCAACTTGACCTCTGGCTTCATTTAGGAGTCTGTAAGTCCTTTTGTCTGTGCTCACATTCCACCTGTCCTTTCTGCATCCCCAAGGAGGCAATAACCTCACTAGCAAGAGCTTCCCCTTGAGCCGTTGTCATAGTAACTTGTGGGCTGGTCGACATGACAACCCCACCATGGTCCAGAGATAGATGATAGGGCAGAAATGGGGAGGGAGCAGTCGCATGGGGGATTTGCACCCCCTTTAATTTGGTTTGCCTGATTCTGATTTAAAATCTCTCCCTTTCTCTCTCTGAAGGTGAAGCACGTCCGCCATCAGCCTGCTTTACATTCATACAGGTATTTATAGGCCGCAAACACTCGGTTCTGAGCATCAAACACAGACCTGCTCAGCTTCAAGGCATCCGAACAGATATTGTTGAGAAAGAAATGTTAATTCTCATGTTTTAGTTTTTTAATGCAGTGTAAAAATGGAAAAGCTTAAATTTTCAATTTGATTTTTTTTTTTTGCTCATGTACATTAATGCGTGCAAAAAAACGTCATTTTCCATATAGATGAATATACGTCATGCAAGAAAGGTGTGGAAATAAAATGTGGAAATAATGATGAAAATGCAGGTATTTTAAAAGAGGCAGCAGAAAGACTTTGTTTCCTAAATCTCTGTGTGAGAAGTCCGCTAACGTGTTGACTTTATCATCATGTGTTAAACACGTCAAGCGTTTCTGCTGTTCATTCCATCATTTTGTTAAACCTGCCGTTTGTGGACAATCTGTTGCTTTTTAAAAACATGTACGTTGCACTCTAAGAAGTGTGCCAGAAATAATTACAGATTTGATATCCTGTTTTTCTAGATATTTTATGTTATTTTTGAGCAAGTTTTTTTATTTTCTGCAAAATGATCCATCAGACGAATTGTTATGGGAAACCCTGTAAGACTTTCTTATTGAAAAACCCAACAGCTGATTTTAGGCAGGTCAGAAACATGGAAAAGCTGAACAAGAGGTTAATAAGTAGTATTATTGCATATATAATATTCATAAATTAATAATAATAAAAAATAATTATTCTTTAGCTATACAAAATAAATTAGTTTTAATCAAAATTGTGATAGTTTTACTGGATGACAAATATATATTTTTAAACTATGTGTATAACAATATGTTTCTTGTACAGATATTGGCATGCCTCAAAGCTTTGTTGTTCTCATGAAACAAGCTCAAAAGCTCTTTATTTATCTCAAGTGTTTGTATTTTTTCCTAACAATTATCTTCCTTTGAGCTGTGATTCTGCTTATGAACAGGCCTCCTCCTGTTAGTGTGACTGTTTCCCCTTATTGTTTTATTGTTGTCATGATTTATTTGTTTGTTTTTAAATATGTTTGATGTGCCGGCTTCATTTTATTTTGGCAGCCTCTGCCTCTGACAGATGAATTTTCCCTTGGGGGATCAATAAAGAATATCACCTTTTTTCATTTTGTCTCATTTCATATCATCTCATCACTGTGGCTGTGGCCTGCTTCAGGAGGACAATAACATTATTAATGTTAGATGTAGATGAGAGTGCCTACAGGTAGCCAATCTCTAGATTAAGGAAGGGAGGCAGGCAGGCAGGCAGGCAGGCAGATAGATAGATAGACAGACAGACAGACAGACAGACAGTCAGTCAGTCAGTCAGTCAGTCAGTCTGGTGTAAACTGAGATATTGTGAATTTACTTTGTTTTCCTTGTGTTCCTCGCATTAGAGAATGTTCCTTGTGCTCTTCAAGTGTGAGACTTGCCTTAGTTCTTCAGTCTGAGTTTGCATTAGACCAGGGGTGCCCCCACTTTTTCAGAATGCGAGCTACTTTCAAAATGACCAAGTCAAAGTGATCTACCTACTATAAAAATACAAAACCTATACTTATTTATAGACATATTAAGTATACTTTATTTGTTTTATGTTCTTGTTTTACGTTCTTACATTCTTCTTAGTATTTTACTGTGTTTTATATGGCACCTTGACTTATTGTTTTATAACACTACTTTTATTTTAGATAGATAGATAGATAGATAGATAGATAGATAGATAGATAGATAG